CAGGTCACCGAGCTTGCCTGGCGAGAACTTTACCTGCCTTGCCAGCCCCATTCCAAGTCTTGAAGAAGCGCCCCCTACCCCTTGCTGTGCCATTCACGGGATCTAAGTGACAGCCCTGTTCTGATCTGGCCATCGGCACTCGATGGCAGAGGCTCAGAGAAAAGCCTTTCCTCTTGGCTCTCGGCCATCCCCGCAGCTTCCCAGAAGAGCCCTCTTCACTGTCTGTGTAGAACACGGAAAGGCTGGGGGCTTCTGACTCTGCTGTGTAGGTTAGAAAGGGGGATTGGGGCAGCAGAAGGGAGATGCCTGGCTCTTTTTCAAGCCATATGTATCCTTCTTTGCCCCTGCATTCCTGTTAGAGGAGCTGGCTGACTCAAGGCCAGCTCCTGCCTGGCGCGTGGATCCTGGTGGTCCTCATCCTTCCGTTCAACTACTGAGAAGTCCATGTGACCCTGGGGTGTGGTCCCATGGTCTGCTACTGATGCTCTTGTCTCAGCTGCATCTGCAAGCCATCTCCCCCTCCCCTCCTTCTCTCCATGTCCTCTCTTTTGTGGCCATCAAGTCTACTACTTCTTTTGGAGGGTGAGAGTGGCTTGGAGATAGTAGGTTTGTATTAACCATAAAAGTAACGACTTACACAATTCACTAAATTTTCGCAGTAACCTTTGACACAGAGGAACCTATTTTATACAAGGGGAAAACTGAGGCTGAAAACATTTAATTAGCAACTAGCTGGTTGAAACAAACCCACACACACCTGCCTGTGTTCACAGCTCAGGACTCTATTTTTTAATTTTACTTATTTCTTATTAGTTTATGTATATGAGTGCTTTTCCTGCGCCTCTGTCCTTGCACATGTGTGTACCTGATGTCCTTAGAAGGAAGAAGAGGGCATCAGGTCCACTGGAGCTGGAGATATAGATAGCTGTGAACCTCCATATGGTTTCTGGGAATCAAACCCAGGTCCTCTATAAGAAGAACAAGTAATCCCAGCCTCATTCAGCGACTCGACTTAATTAAGTGCAGTCACCATAGAGAAGAAAGCCACAGCGACCATCAGTGCCAAGCCCCATATCACCAATCCCAAGGCAGAGGTGAACGGTTTTGTGCCCACTGCACTGAGAATGCGCCAGGAGGATAAGGGGGCTACTGCTGTCCCCCAAAGGAGGTCAGAGGGTGATTCCGCTGTGCCTGTTGCCAAAACAGTCCTCAGATCTGGTCTTTCTGTTCCTGTCCCAGTACAAGCTAAGGACGATGGGTTTTTTTTTTTTTTTTTTTTTTTTTTTTT